CCAACTGCCCCTCTGCTGCCATCTGTTGCATGGTAACGAAATGGAATGGAATATAGGTGGGAAGATTCAACGTGCACTGCGATACCACCAACATCTGCCTCTGACATCGTGGGCCAACATAATAAAGTAGGAGGCATTGCTTTCAGAGCAACCCTTGCACATAGATTTTCCACATTTTTAGAGAATAAAGTCATTTTTAGATGGATGGATGAATTTGGGACACTGTTGCTTCGTCTTTATCTCTAATTGAGATACTATCACGGATTGTAAGACTCTGGAGTATAATGATTTGTCAGCGCAGGACAGAGTGGACCAATTTAATAGCTGCTGGAGGGGTTAGGATTCCAGCAGCCTTTGATCAAATCCTTTTTAGGTCAGTAACATTTAGAGATGTAGAAAAAAAATCAAGTAATTGGAGAGAGACCAGATGGTTTGTGGCTAATTTGGAAAAGTACAGATTATATTGTTGTGCAGGATCTTATTAAATAGAAAGGTCTTAAGATTTTGTAAGGGATAGATTAATATTGATATCATGTTATTCACACTGTTTAGTGTGCAAACATCATCCATCTTTTTATTTTTCTGCACGTGCTCATTGCTGCCTCTAAAACCACAGTGTCAGGAATTAGCATGGTGAGTCAATAGACAATAGCATTATGTGAATATTTCTCTTCTATGTTTTCCGTTGTTGAAGAAATATTTACGTGTGTGTAAACTCTCAGTTCAAATATTACAGAAGTAACCGAGTGTATGCCTATCATGGAATTAATACAGGTGAGCGAAGTGCCATAAGCACAGGCTGATCTTTCTGCACTCCATACCACTTTTGCAGAGCATTTTACCTTATTTGCACAGGCTCCTACTCACTGCAGTTACACTAATGAAATATGTGTTCATTTTTAAGTTTCTTTACTGTTATATTCTGTGTGCACAAAGACGTACTGGATAGGAATTAAGCTGTGTGTTTACTTTAAGGGGATAAAGGTAAAATAACATGGATTGAACTGGGTAAATATTACTTGTGTTTATTGCAGCACTGCCCAGAGGTTGTGGGTGAAATTGCTGAATATTTCACAGATACTACAAGGGGTAACTTCTACCCCACGCAGTTTACAGCAAAGAATAACAGTCGACACAGACTGGGAAGTGACTTTATAAGAAACCTCTTTTTGTGGGAAAGGTAGAATGCAGAATAACAGCATGTCTGCTGCCTGAGTCTTGGGATCATACCATCTCAAACAAGAACGACCTACCTGTCCCAATGCTCATATACACGTGCCGTAAGATATGTTTTAAAAGCACTTAATGCATTAAATATATTTATAGGCTTACATGTGTATAGTTTTGCAGGTATATCAAGATGTCATTATAATTGTTAGTACTACTTCACAACTGTTATTGGGCTGTTATTGCTTCTTATTATCTCACTTAGTGTTCCTAATGCCTTAACCGTGATTAACAGATTTAAACTTTACATCATCTTGCTATCGTTTGCTGGCACACACTTAAGAATATATCTGAGATTTTGGGATAATCCTTTCTGTTTGGCAGAGATGTTTGGAACTAAAAAGTACAAAATAGATGGTCAGCTCTGGAGGGAATCCTTCAGAGAGGTAATAGCTTAAGGAAAACATTGCCAAACAAGCAAAGATTTGCTGAGAGGTTTTCGGAATAACATTCTTGACTTAGAGCCCATTATCTAACAGATGTGTATTGATTTAATAAGCCTCCCTACTGTTTCACTATAAGTACTTAGTTCTCTCATCTTCAGTGTTGTATGTGGAGCAGGAACTTATTAATAAAAAGTCTGTAATTCCAGCAAGACGTGTCGGTGCCCATATTTATCAAGGACAGTTAAGTATTTTAAAGCTAATTAAAGCTGCTTCCTTTTTTTTTTTTTTAAATTGGGATGCTGCTTCTAAGTCCCTCAGTTGGAAGTAGTACCTGATGTATACATTTCTGTCTTTATTTGACAAAATAATGATATTACAAGCTATGTCATAGATTCAGTTTTTTTTTTCCCAGGATGCCTCAAAATAATCTTACAAAATAATATCTTGCTGTGGCTGCACAAGAACTGACACCTTGCAACTGCCAAGCTATTACTTCATTCTCACTTTTTTTCTAGCTGATGTTTACTAACTGTACAGAATCTGTTATTTTTAATACTACAGGCTTCATTTGCCATGTGAAAGGCTTAATACCACTAATTTCTGGTGAATAGAAAAGCATGTAATTATATGGCATATCTCACTGCTTTGCAGAATAGAGGACAGAATAGAATGGCATCAGTGCATTAACACAACTTCTACCTAGACTCTAGTTGTACTAGTTTGTAACACTGAAGCTGTTGGTAGCCTCTGCCTAGATTGACATAAAGACTCATAATGCAGATGATAGTGAAGCACAAACAGAGGCATCCAGTAGTCCAGAACTGTCACAGATGTGACAACTGCTTACCTCTGCTCCAGGAAGTGGTTCCCTTGGGAAGAAGGAAGAAGTCCAGCCAGTTTTTCTGCTTTTCCCCTGTCTTATTTCTTACTGTAGCAAGAGGCGATAATAAAGAGAGGTAAAAAGAGGTAGGATTTGGTGCAAAACCTGCTGCAAGAAATGCAAATGTGGCAAGGAAGAGGGAGAGAGTTCTGCTGCTGAAAATTGCTGTAAGGTTTAGCAAATGCTGCTGCATTGGAATGCAGCTGCCTGCCTCAGAACTGGGCACAGAACGTCATGTACGGCTTTCTCAACAGTCTTGTGCTGTGCACGAAGGAGTCGTCTCATGCCTATGTACACATGTGCATGCTTCAAATGAAGGCTGTTACAAAAAGCTGTAACCTTACCTAACATGAGAACAGCCATTATGATGCTCAGATTTTAATCGAGTGTGAGTTAGGCTGTGGGTTTACCCTGATACTTTGTGTGTTTATTCATTGCTATCAGGTGTTAAAATGAAAAAAAAATCAGCTGCATGTTGATAAGCAACTAATGATTTTACTCTAGTTTTGTGGCACTAAGCTTCAGGTAGTTTAGAAGAGTCTGAAAGATGGAAAACTAATAGATTTGTCACTTCAGCCTCTTGAAAAGCTGTATTCCTGATGTTTCAACATGCACATTGCAAAAGGGAGACACTATGGAACAAAAGGGAGACACTAATGGAACACTAACAAGTCATTTCTGAAAGTCTTAGCCTTCAAATGTTAGTCTTACAACTGTAAAACAAAACAGCTGTGTATCACTGTAGTGGGTATGTTATCAAGTACCATAATCCCATCTTTTTTTAAGGTAAGAAATACATGTGTGAGAAGTTCTGCAAGTGTTCTGAGCACAGGACTTCTTCCATGATCTATTACTATTTTCTGCAAAGTTTCAAGTAATTTGCTTTTCTGATTCAAGCTATAAAGCTTTTAACTATAAAATTGATCTCCCCGTAAAGTGCATGTTGTGTTCTAATACCATAATTACCTACGGCCTGATCTTCCAACCCTTGGTGGCATAAGTAATCTTTACTCATCTGTCTAATCTTACTGATTGCATATACAGGAGGTGTTAAGTGAGTACAGCAGGCTGTTACCCAACTTTTCTAAATCACAATTTGTTTTCACATGAATAAGTGATCTAAGTGAAGGGTTAACAGTGCTCTGTCTCTCTTAATTTAAGAGTTGGAAGACAATTATAATTCAAAATGCTTCTTCTAGTTGAGACTCCTTAGGAAAAATATATACACCGCCTAGAGCTAGAAGTCCAACTTTGCTTTTAAATGCAAATATTTTAACAAGTATAACACATAGAATCATGAACTATCAATTATTCCTACTAGGCACATGTAAAACATCTTGTTTATCACAAAGAGGCCAAATTAAGCAAAAAATGTAAAGTAAAAATTTGTAATTGAAGTGTTGCCTGTTCTACTTTGAAACTGCCCGTTGTTCTTATCAGCTGTAGCCTCCAGGTTGTCTTGATGCATTTGAATGGGTCTTTTAATAAGAAAAGTTGAGAACTGCTGGTAGTGGCTTTCTGTGGGGGTTGTTATGCAAGTTAATCTGGCTTGCAGTGACTGCTTACTGAGAATGGCGTTAGAACAGTGCATTGTTTACAAACACAAGCCTGTCAGATAAGAGAGGACATTAGTTTCCTCTACTTCCATTCCCTAAATGTTCTATGGGTAAGTACAGAATGACAAGGGGGAAACATTTCACTTCGGGAAGAATGGATTTCCCAGCTAACCTACAGAGAGAAGAATATAGTCAAAAGTTCATGTAGATTTTTGGAAGCTTTAAGTAGAATTTTTTTATTCCAGTTTAATTGCATCAGTCTGAAGGCAGATCAACTACGAGTTTCAACAAATGTTGTTTTTAATTTTCAGCATGTTGTTGTTTCAGCCTAAATCAAACAATCTGCTGTTTATCTCCATGCCCAGGAAGAGTTTGTTTGAGACTGTATCTTTCTTTTTGTTGCTGTTTGCTTGTTTGTTTCACCAGGGTACTATTAACTATCTTTCAGAACTGTAACTTCAAAATTATGTCCTCAAGGTGATTTTGTTGCATTCTTTTGAAGACGTGATGACTGTTTTACTGACACTTTCCTGTTCTCAAGGGAGAGCTGATAGTTTTGGACCAGCAAGTAATTGTCTGGATCATACTCAAAGTCTCCTCTTCAGGTTTCACAAACGTGTATGCACATGCATGGGATTAATGTGAATGCTGAGTCTCTGTATGGCACAGTCCTGTGATGTGTTCTGAAAACACGTCCTGATCACACAGTTATCTCTGGGAATATTCAGTGAAGTTAATGTTACATCACTGCAGCGTCCAGCACCTGTTTTTTGTGCCTTTTTAGTTTGGGTTTTTTTTTTCCTGGAGTGGGGTGGGATTGGGGGAGAGGAGAGGATTTTTAGTTAGTTTTTAATATGTCCTATGAGCTCTTTTCTACCTTGCAGTCTTAAGTCTCTGGCAGTTAATGGACTGTTCTGTGTTTGTTTGTTTGTTGTTTGTTTTTTACATTAGCCCTGCTTTTGAGGAGTGATTTTTGAGATCTCTGCAGTCTTGGTTGCCATCTGGGTCTACAACCCCAACCCCACTGATGTGCTTGGGATGTTATTTTCAGACGTCTCTCGGTTGCGTTTTAACCTTGGAATTTACAGTGCTTCGTAAGTCAATCCTATGTTGACTGGATTGATAGAGACTGTAAAACAGGTAATTATGCAAATTATGTCCAAATAGTATTATTAAAGATGCACTGTCTATATTGTTTCACAGTTTCATCCCTCTGTTCTCTTAGATTACTTCCATGCTTTTTACAGCTCCGAGGTTCTATGTGCAAGAATATGAATTTATTCCACGCGTTATTTTGTCATATGCCTTGAAATGAAAGGTAGTTTGCTTCTGTACAAGGTTGATTTCAGAAAGGTAGGAAAATCTTATTTTTTAAAAGCATGTTCATCCTGCTATCACCTAGTTCTGATTTTTTTCAACAGCACATGATAAAAGAGACTTGACCCAGCTGTAGTGAGCCTTTTGCTTCAACTCCTTAAGTGCATGAGAATTGCAGTAATGCTTATTTCACTTAAAATTACAGCAGCCACAAGAGAACCTGTTTTTATGTATTTTTCTGTTTAAAACATAAAACACAGATGATTTGTCAGGGAACCACCTGTCTCAAGATAGCTGAATACATTGATTCCATTGTTTTCTGACTGTTGAATCTAAGCAAGACCACCAGTGGTGTATTTCTGTGATGTGATGGAATTTTGACATACACTGAAGAAAATTCATGGCATTGAAATCATCAGATATTTTTTCCTTGTATTAGTTAGCGCTGTTATATAATAAGCATGGTTTATTTCACTTGTTTTCCAGCATTGTTATTTCATGGTTGATTGTTGACCATGTTTACTAGTTGTAGCAGCTGTCACTGGACAGTGCGGAACTTTTCAGATGTGACCTGGAAAATGACTCATTTTTTGGCATGAGCAGAAAAGCTGAGTTACTGGGATCATTCACAGTGATATAGGTGAGCACTGATGCATCTTACAGTGAAATTTATTGCTTCTCTCTTAAAGTTCTTTTATCAGATCAGAGGACTAATTTGATTGAAAATGCAGAATGGTGGCACTGCGCAATGGAAAGAGCTTCACTGCAGAAATGAGTTCTGTTTCAAATGAAGACTGAGATGTTCAAGCACAGGTTGTATCTATGAGTGGACTTGAAGGGAAAAGTGGTCTGTCCTTGAGATGGGTAGAACTGCATAAACAGTCCTTCAAACATGTACTTTGTGCCAGACTTCTGTACATTGGTCCACAAGTATTCAGTTTGGGCTTGATGAGTCCTGCTTCCTTCTCTGTATTCTACTACTAAAAATAATAGAATTAGAGGAAGTCTTGTGCATTAAACAAATGCAACTTATTTGGCCTGGAGTTATCTAAAAAATAAAAAGGCACATGCAAATTAAATTTTATTCAGGGATCTCCTGTTTAAATGGAGCAGTGATATCATCGAACTTGCTCTGAGATTACTGCATTGTGTTGGAGAAGTGGTGGGCAATGTAGGTGGGCGCTATTTGCTGTTCTTCCAGATTTTTGAAATGTAAACAATGCTTACAAATGTAATTGGCACACTGTGATAGTGAACTGCCAGCCTTACTGAGTTGAATAGTGGCTGCTGTACTGTAAGGAGAATTCATGCTCAGACTTGTAGTTAACTATGTAACCACTGCAGCGTAACAAAGATGTTACTTCTATAGACATCCTTTTGTTATTTTAGGTTGAACTTTGGGACTTCGGAAGCCATCTTGGAAGAGGTTAAATGATGCCATGAGAAATTCTGGCCAGCATACAGCCTTTCTAAAAGCTCTGCTTTCTTTAGCCACGAACTCATTTGCTTTGTAGCTTTCTGTTCACCTTTAGTGTCTGATTTCGTAGTCGGTGAAGTTCAGCAGCAGAACTCGGACCACATCCTTTGTGCCACTCACACTTCAAAAGGACATGAAATAGCTTTCACATCTCCACCTCCCTACTAAAATCTCTCCTACCTTTTGGTTTCTTGCATTAGAAGGGAAGGAATGTGCCTGAAACAGTCAGTTTTTTTTCTTCTTTTCATATTGTTTGATGCATGATGAGCTTGGCTATCTGATCTCATTGTGTTACTGAATATGGCTTCATTAGCCACAAAAAGTGCTATCTACAAGGAAGAAAATATGCCCTCTGCTGACTTCGCATGCGGCTAGAATTTAAAAAGCTGCTGTCAGAGTACCACGATGGAACTATTGTTTGCAAATAAAGCAAATTAAAATAAACATCTTTTATCATAAGAAAGCAATTAGTGTTGATTCGCAGCTTTGCTTGGTTTTTCTTTCCTGACCTTGACTACATCGTGATGGTTTTGTGCTTCTTCGGACAGCTTCCACTGCATCTGCATCGATTAAACCTTGATCTCATTTATTATCTCAGGAAATGGTCTCAAGGTCACAGGGCTGGAAATTTAATTATGGTGGCAGTATATTAAGTGGCACATTTAAAGATGCTGAATCGCAGTAATTAATTTTTTGGATGGTGGTCTCTAGGGAACAGGTTTTCTCCACACTGGGTGTTTAGACATCCATCATGGCCATTCAGCTTGGCAGCTGTCTTTTAGCTTTAAACTGTGTCATTATTCATCTTTTACGGCTGACTTTAAAAACACTAGACAACTATATTCTTTTTTATTGTAATATATGTCAGATGCTTGTATTAAGCTATACTTCACCTTTGCTATAAAACATTAACAGAGGTTGCTAGTAGTTACCTGCCTGGCCTCTAAATTGAGATAACAATTACCCTTCGCTGACATCTAGTGTCAAGGCATGAGATATAGCTGGAGTGCTGAATCCATTGGCCTGGAAATCCTGCACTTCCCCAGTGATTCAAGCTCACCCGTGAAGCTACAGCACTGGACGTAATTAGTGGACACGAGGGATTAAGTTGGCACTCGGTGTTGACTTTGTAGCAGCACTAGGTTATTGAATGAAATGCAGCACTGCCAAGGTCTTAAAAATCTTGTAATGTTTAATGAAGGAATGGTCATTAAACTTGCTGGATCAAATATTAGGCAAGATGGAACTGGGAGGTATTTAATAAGGGGTCTGAAAATATGAACTAAATCACATCCACTCATTTACAAAGCTGGCAAAAGTCCAGTCTTTCAAAATTCTTCACTGCTGTTTTAAGGTAGGTGGTATTGGACTGGGGAAGGAGAACAGTGAGCAGATTTTAGCTTCTAATGTAACTTCATTGAAAATTCTTCTACTGTAAAATTATTTTTCTTGAATGAAATATTGTTTTCATGCTTCTCGGACTGTTCACAGGTTGATGTGAGGTCTTTCACACCCTTTGTCAAATTGAATATTTCAGGTCTCTGAGTGACCTAGTCTACAAACATGTTATTGAAGTTGAGTGAATTATATATGGCTATGCACGTAGCCAACCAAAGCAGAGCAAATCAGGGCTTGCTACACCTGTAAGAACAGAATAGTCCAAATGTTTGGGTTTTTTTACATGGCTTTTTCAATAAATCCAGAGTCCATTGGATTTTTTGAAGAAAAATATGCCGCAATATGAAAAATCGGAGGTAAAAGCAGTATTTGAGGGAGGTTTATATTTGGAGCTTAGCAAATAATTACTCGAAAATGTAACGAGGGTGTATCAAGCTTGTGTTTTCTTCCTTGTTGTGCCTCATCTTAAATAATCTATGTATGTGAATATTCACAATGGAATGCAGAGTAGCCATATAAAAAGCTAGGATTTTGGAACATGAGGGGAGGAGGGAACATAGCTTACATCACCACTGCCTGGAGAGTGATGGGTGTGTAATAAATAATCCATAGGTTAGGATAAGTTTGTGTGAGTGATTAGGCAAGCAGCTGTGCACAATAAGTGGATAAACAGGAAAGAAAATAATTAATGTTAATTTCAGATGAGGTTAGTGGTACCATACTAAGTATTCACTAAGAAACGCTTCTTTAGCTGTAGTCCTGATGTACATTCTATCCTTGCAGCTCACCATCAGATTAAGTCACTGATGTTTTTGTTCAAACCGGGAGAGCAAATCTTGCTGCAGTTCAGGTGTAATGATGGGCTGTTTGGAAAGTTAGCAAAGTTAGGCTGTTTCATGTCTTTTTACATCAACAAGCTCAATCAAAAATGCTTAGAAGTTTGTATTTGGAGGCAATTTTATTTAGAGATTCTACAGTAGAGGGGTTGCAGTGATAGAAAATGGTTATGCTTTACTTCCTTTATGTAAGAGACCTGTGTACATATAGTCTGTCAGTTTTTCCTTCTGAGAGTTCAGATCTACAAAACCAAGCACGAGAGGTTTGGATTCAAGTTCTACTTCATCAGAATGTTCAAATGATTTATCGTGGCGTTTTTCCCCATTTTTGAACCATCTCTTGTTAGCATTAAACACTGCTGTTCATCTAATGACTTCTTGCAAATGTAAAATCTAAAGTAAAAATTTCCTAAAAATATTGTTTAAAATAGCTATCTGGTTTACTTGCTTCATTTTTCTTTTCCTAGTTCTGAATGCCACATTTTTAGTCTGCATCAGTGTAAGTTTCTTTCATACAAGGTATGCAATAACTGCATTTCTGCTTATGAGAACTAGCTTTCAAAACTGTTTCAGTACATACATAACTGATATCCTCTTAACCATCCAGCCTGAACGACTCTCAACTTTCCTAAATGACATTTTATTGGAACTGATTATGATTAGATAAATGGGTGACTTCACTAATGTATAATACATTTTTCAATTATGGAGTATGTGTGATAATTTACATTTCTTGTTTGATAACGTGATATTTATGTGGCGTTCTGCAGGAGATCTGCTGCTGTTCATATAATGGTCTTCTCTTAAAAGAAACTGACTTTCAAATTCTTTCAATATATTTGATTTTTTGGATAAAAAAAGATGTTAGAAATCCACCTTGATTTATCATTCAGTGGAATGAAACCTGCTGGTGGCTAAATTCTAGTCCTGGAATTTGTTGCCTTAGGATCCAAGTTCTGTCATCAGCTTCACCGATGCAAGATTTAACAAGATTTGTCTGAGAAATCATGGAGAGTTATATGACTGTAGGATGGCCCAGGCTGCTGCTGGAATGACCCTCTGGACCTCCATAGCATTGTCACCTGATCAAAATAGGCTCATTTGTGAGATCAGATCAGGTTACTCAGAGCTTTTTCCAGTTGTATCTGAAAATGCATAAGGACTTTCCCAAATCTTTTCACACTCTTTCTTGTACACACGTGTGCTGTGCTTGTACTATTTCTCAGGTTTTTTTGAAAGCTCAGATGTTTTATTTGTAGGTACCAGGGATCCTGCATGTCAAGCAAGGTGAATGAAGCCTGTCAAGGCACTTGCTGAGTGGGGTAACTATACACGTGCGTGCTGTTGCAATCGAGATTTGTGATCTGAATCTGACTACTACTTTCTAACTTACCTCATTACCTTTTAGTAGCAAACTACTGAAAGTGCAGGAATCTGATCATGAAAAATCAACTACCATGTAGAAATAGACTATGCACTTAAACTGAATGGAGTAGAGCAGCTATGCATGAGCTTGCAAAACGTAACCATGATTCCCTCTTTTTTTTTTTTGCAATTGCAATTTAGGTCAAAATATACTCTGATTAAGAGTAGTTTCAGTGCTTTTTTTCCTTGAATTTGAGTAGCCAAGAGTGTGTTTGTTCTAAAACTGCCTTAATGCAGGTAAACGTGAAAACGTTTGTATGTGATTCATATTGAGTTTCTTGTACAGAAAAAAGAAAGAAACACAACAGGAATATTCCCTGTAAGTAAATAGTTCAACTTAAAACTGATACAAGTTTGAGGAATGCTGAGTTCATGGAATGCATTATTAACAGATAGGCATCCACAGTGGTTGAGACACGGGTAGTTTTGTATCAGGTTAATAATTTGGTGTCAATGGGCATGGCCCATTTTATTTTCATTTAAAATCATGATGCGTTCATGAATCAGTGGGAGAGCTTTTCTTAGATTAAAACGATCTGCTAAAAGCAATTGGGTAAAATCTTTCTTGACTGCAGAACTGATGACTTCTGTTCCTCATCTAAATTGGTGTATGGATGTATATATACTTATATGTATGTGTATATACATTAGGTTTTAAACAGAAGGATGAGGACTTTAGTATCTTTTAAATTCCCTTTCACAGTTTTTGAAGTGTGAAGCTTTACTCCATCAACTTTAATTCTGTTCCCAGGGAGTAGCCAAAAAGAAATCTCCTTCCAATTAAAATTATTGAATCCAGGTACGATCATGCAAATAGCCAGGCGGAATTTATTTAACCTTCAGCCAGCTGCCTAATCAAGTTGAAATTATTGATAGCCCATCAGCAGTGATCAAGATGGAGAGGCTAAATGAAGAGGTGCCTTTTCTTAGCTCTTCCACTCGTGCTTTTTTTTTTTAATAGGAGAACCATTGAGCTGGTAACAAGACTTGAAATGCCGTGTCAGCTCAGCTAGCATGGTCAAGGAGCTCAGCTGTAGAAGGGAAATAAAACTGTTAAGTTATGGCTGCCCTCCAATCAGTCACAGGGGTAATGATGTTTGGCTTTAGTCAGGTTATATGTCAGTAAATATACATCTCTCAGACAGCCTTTAAGACAGCCTTAAGCTCATGCTTATTGTTTTATATAGATAGGGGTCGGATGCTGATATATGGTGGTCATAGGCCACTGGTATAAATTTCACAACATTCATCAGGTAAAGTTAATCTCAATAGAACAGAATGTGACTGCAGTTTTGATAGAATATGCATTCCATCAACAGTGATGGGGCATTTTTTCTCTTTTATGCTAATCTAAGTTAAGATGATCTTTTTCCCCTGCCCTGATTCTAAATTTATCTCTGCTTGAAGTAACCAGTTACGTTGAGTTTTTAACGTAGGGCCCTGACAAGTTCAAAATTCAAAATTGCAGCTTATAACACCACTGATGAACTGTATTCTGCTCACTTGTCCTCTTCACAGGAATCTATGAGTCAAATTCAAAGGTAATGAGACCTCAGAATTCCATTTTTGTCCAAGTGCTGGAAAACACAAATGTTAGCTTCTTCTCACGTGGAGTGATTGTGTGAACTCTTTTTCAAGAGTTAAGGATTGAGACAAGACCGTACCAATGCAAGCATTCTAGACATTCCACTTAAGATCAGTGCTAAAGAATCTGTGTCTATTTGCAAGTACAGGATTATGCCTTCTATTACTGTAGATTTACATTAGTTTGTTAGAAGGTCCCATTACTCCAGCCTCTGCTCTTACTAGTATTCCTTATTACCATTCTGCACAGTGAGGAAATGTAGAAATACAACCTACAGGCACGTGACTGCGTGCCCTTTTCATCTTTAGTCTGTACAATGAGACTAGAATTTGGTAAAGTCATA